AACTGCTTCTACTTCTTCAGGGAGCAGAAGCAGAAGCTGGAGTGTTTGGGTGAAAGTGCAGAAGTGATTCTGGTGCTCTAATTTACTCCTAGAATCAGTTTTTTTAGAAGTTGGGGGTGACCAGCTTCTGAAAACTGATTCTGATTCTGCTTCTGCTTTAAAAAAGAAGTAGAATCAGAATTAGTTCCAACCACCCCCTAAATAGCCCTATAACATAAATAAAGTGCATAAACCCCCTAAATAGCCCTATAACATAAATAAAGTGCATAAATAGAACCACTATTATTTTCTCCCTAAAATAAAGGGAAGATCCATTAACTCTTAATTGGGAACTTTTATACTTTTAATAGGATCAAATAAATCTTATTTAAGGACTTATAAACTTATAATTTATTACAATTTGAATGTCTGACTAAATAGATACCTTTGGTGAAAAAATATTGAACCCGAGGCTCTTAAAACCCGGACCAACCCGAAAGTATTGGTCCTCCGATCGGGCCCAAAAATGTAGAACCCGAAGTTTTTCGGGTTTTTTACGGTCCGGCAAAAACCCGACCCAACCCGACCCGATCCCACCCCTACTGAAAGCTGATTTTAGAGTTTAAAAGAAATTAGCATACTTTACGAAAAGGGGCTATGGAAATAGACCTAGGGGTGGACCGGGTGTGGGTCAGGCTGGGATCTGGGTCGGGCTCTGGGTCGGGCTCCAGTTCAACATTATTGGGCTGAGTCGGGTCGAGTATGAATTATATTATTATTTTTAAAGGCTTTTTCGAATTAATTCCAACCCAAACCCCTTCAAAGTTCAAACCACCCAGCCTCACTCCTCCGCCAACCTAGCAGCCCAAAAAAATTAAAAAAAAAAAGTATTTGGGCCCGGGCTGGTCCAGCATTTAGGAAGCCCGTAGCTCGCCAGAAAAATGCTTCAATTTCGGCCTCAGTCTTGGTCTCGGCCGACTGGGTCAGGCCGGTACTGCACAGTAACGGGCCGGGTACCTGGTCGGGCCGAACCGGCCCAGTGCACCCCTAAATAGACCCGGATCTTGCGTTCAAAAAATACTTCAATTTTATCTTGTTATTCCAAATTATTTTCTTATTTTTGCAAACCATTATATCATAAATCTCACATTTCACAAAATATAATATTTAGCAAAGATAAGAAAATAACTTGAAATAACATGATATTAACCGGTCAGGGAACAACGAATGAAGATGGGGTGCAAAGGTTGGATTATTCTTGAATAACGAAAAAATGGGAATATTGTAAGAAAACCGTATAAATGAACGACGAAGTCAAAAGTTGATGCAAATCATGAAACGTGTTGTCATTCTATTATATACCTATCTAAATCATTAAATCAACAGGTCTCAAATAATCAGTAACAACACCAAGAGCCCGTTTGGTAGCACCAAAATCGGCTGTTTTGACCGATTCTGCTGAAATTTATGATATTCTGGCTGGAGTGGCTGTTTTGGCTGATTCTGCTGATTTAAGAAAAAATATTTTAAAAATATGTTTTATTAATAAATTAAAGAAAAAATTATATGTAAAAATAGCTAAAATGGTCCTCTACAGTAACTTCAGCCAATACAGCCAGAAAAGTAACTCCAACCTTACTTTTTCGGCTTATTACACAATTCAGCGCGCGAAAGTAAAAGTTACGTGTTTGGTGAAAAAGCTGGCTGATAAGCCTGATAAGCCGAAAACAGAGTTCTCCAAACGGGCTCCAAGTATTGCATAAGATGTAGGCTTTGTTTGCAATCACTTCTGCTTAAATAAAAGCACTTTTGGGGAAAAGTGATTAATAGTAAAAGTTGGTAGTGTTTGGTAAAATAAGTGCTTTTTGTGTAATAGAAAAAGTAAAAAGTAGATTCTACACGGAAGCCGAGAAAGTAAAAGTTGGTAGTGTTTGGTAAAATAAGTGCTTTTTTCTTAAAAAAAAGTTAAAATCACTTTTTTTAATGAGTTGCAAACAGACCCGTATTTTAAGATGTGCATTATGAAATACAAGTTTACGTTAGCACTTTCTTATTTTCTTATCGAGATGACACGCAACTCTTAGGATTCCAAAAAAATATCGTTAGCACTTTCTTATGTTTCTTATCGCAAAAAAATATCTTTATGGACGGTCTATAATAGGTGCTAGTTGGACTGGGTATTAAAGACTAAAGAGACAAAAAGATTTGTTTTACAAGTGCTCTATTGTCAGGATAACTTGTTTATTTGCACCTTAGTTTTTCACCTTTTTGTTTCTTGAGATGAATATGTTATTTGTAGAAGTCCGGGGACTTTCTTTTTTGAATATTTAACATTCAATGTCACATACTAGAGGTTCATTCTCATTTGAACCGTATGTGAGAGAAGAATCCTTAAGGGGGTGTTTGGATCTGATTCTTAAAACTGCTTCTACTTCTTCAGGGAGCAGAAGCAGAAGCTGGAGTGTTTGGGTGAAAGTGCAGAAGTGATTCTGGTGCTCTAATTTATTCCTAGAATCAGTTTTTTTAGAAGCTGGGGGTGACCAGCTTCTGAAAACTGATTCTGATTCTGCTTCTGCTTTAAAAAAGAAGTAGAATCAGAATTAGTTCCAACCACCCCCTAAATAGCCCTATAACATAAATAAAGTGCATAAACCCCCTAAATAGCCCTATAACATAAATAAAGTGCATAAATAGAACCACTATTATTTTCTCCCTAAAATAAAGGGAAGATCCATTAACTCTTAATTGGGAACTTTTATACTTTTAATAGGATCAAATAAATCTTATTTAAGGACTTATAAACTTATAATTTATTACAATTTGAATGTCTGACTAAATAGATACCTTTGGTGAAAAAATATTGGACATGCTCATCATATGCAAAAGTGCAAAACTGACTTGAGACGGTTTGGCAATTGGCATGTAATATTAGAGTGGACCCGGGTCGGTTCTGTCCCAGTTGCGGGCCGAGACCGCCCGGTCCTAAAAGAAGTTCGAGAAGACCGGGTCAGAACCGCTATATTCCAGGCCTGGATCGGTTCCGGATACCCAGGCGGTCATGTCCTCATCCCGGACCTATTTATTTAACCGGTTTCAAGCTTAACAAATGACCGGTCTAGGACCGGAAACGCCTGGCTCGGTCCCAAATATTGAAACTCGGGCCAGGCTCACTGGTTACCCGGTCTTGAACCGGGATAGAAACCGCATTTGTAGGACCAAAGCTGTAAAACTGTTCAGATTGGGACCATACCATTACATATAAATATAAAATGTTTTACTTCTCCATAAAAACATAAAAGTCCATCGATGGAAGTTACGGTTTACGGTTATGGTTTTTACTGTCTCAGCACCTAGGTAAATAGGTTAGAGCCAATCGGTCCCAAATCCGTTTCAAGTAAAGCATGTCTGAAAGGTTTATGGTTTTCATGGGCAAGCCGCAAGCATGGTGCCTTTGTAAATCATTCTCATTTGACTTGGTGATTTTTTTTCTTTTAGCATCTTTGACTTGGTGAATTGAAAAAACTTAATTGTCGTTATGAAGTACGCCGTAAAAAACTAGTGAGGCAGAAATATTAAAAATTATGTCTAACAAAGATTTCGTTTACAAGAAATAAGAAAAATATTTCGATGAGTCAGAAATTAGTAAATAAAAACTGCACTGGATGTTGGAATATTTGCAATTGGGGTTGCACAGTGTTACAGTGTAGTGGCTTTGTCAAATATAAATGTGACGAACACCTGGAGCATCCACAATGCTTTAGTGTCTAGTCCATTTTTAAAATGGCAATTGTCAAATAAATACTACGTAGCTTTCTAATACACATCATACAATTAGTGTTGGACTCGGGCCGGGCGGACCGAACCGGGCCCGACCCGGCCCGGCTACTGTAGCAACCGGCCCGACCCGGTCGAGCGGGCCTCAGGCGGTCCGGGCCTACCCGGACCGGGGATAGGGCGGTCCGGGCTCGGGCCTTCGTAATCTTGAACCGGCCCGGCCGGTCCGGGCCTAACGGATCTATTTTAAAAAAAAATTGGGCTTTAAAACGGCTCTAATAGCCGTTGGGGTGTTTGGGGAGCCTCCAAACGGCTCTATAGCCGTTGGAGGGGGGTGGGGGGAGAAAAAAAAACCTATTTATACTCCTATTTTCTATACATTTTTTACACCTTCTTCATACAATCCTACTCTCTAATTCTCTATTCTCTCAAATCTCAATCTCTAAAATCTTCATTCATCTTCATCTTCATCTTCTCCAATTATCTCTACATATATATTATTTATATAAATATTATTATATCTACTTATATATTTATTATCTACTTATATATACATATAGTACATTACTAATATTTATTATCTACTTAATATATATTTATTATCTTCTAATTATCTACTTTACATATATATATATATATATATATATATTATAACTTATATTCCTTATCTACTTAATCTCTACTTATTATTATATCTACTTATATATTTATTATCTACTTATATATACATATAGTACTTTACTAATATTTATTATCTACTTAATATATACTTATAGTAGTATTCAATATAAGTGTATTACTCATCTTATAGTAGTATACTTATATATTATATACTATAAACATTATATATAAAATATACTTATATATATATAACATTATATAGATATATTCGAATTACTATATATATTAATACACTTATACAATTCTATTACATACAAGTAGTTAATAGAATATTGTTACATTTTAATTAAAGTATAAAAGTAGTTAATTGTTGCATTTGTCATTTCGCTATTAGTTCATTTGTTAATTGTTGCATTTTTCATTAAAGTGTACAAGTATTTAATTGTTATATTTTAATTAAAGTATAAAACTAGTTAATTGTTACATTTTTCATTAAAGTGTACAACTAGTTAATTGTTATATTTTAATTAAAGTATAAAAGTAGTTAATTGTTGCATTTTTCATTAAAGTGTACAAGTATTTAATTGTTATATTTTAATTAAAGTGTACAACTAGTTAATTGTTACATTTTAAATAAAGTATAAAACTAGTTAATTGTTGCATTTTAATTAAATTATAAAACTAGTTTAATTGTTGCATTTTTCATTAAAGTGTACAACTAGTTAATTGTTGCATTTTAATTAAAGTATAAAACTAGTTAATTGTTGCATTTTGCATTAAAGTGTACAAGTATTTAATTGTTATATTTTAATTAAAGTATAAAACTAGTTAATTGTTGCATTTTTCATTAAAGTGTACAAGTAGTTAATTGTTACATTTTAATTAAAGTATAGCACTTTTATATTTGTTAAGATGGAGCGTGGTAGACATTCTGTAGATATGGGAAATCTCCAACGCAACCGAAAGAAGGAGATTGCGAGAACTCATCCTAGTTTGCGCAAGAATACCGGGCAGTCCGGGTTTTTTTCTCAAAGTCGACAAGATTTGGAATCGGAATACCAACGGCGAGATGGCCATGCGATGTCTGACGAGCAACTACAACAACTATTGGCTCAAATGATGGGCGATTTTTCCATCAACGAGACATCCCGGACGAGATTCACACCATTGACGAAGAAGAGCTGAGGATGACGATCCGGAGGAGGACGCGGGGGGGCGCCGGGAGTCACGGCACCCCGGATGAGGAGCAAGAGGCGGAAGACGAGGGTGGTTCATCCCAAACAGGTACGACGCGACAACACGAGCAAACATGTGCGGCTTGGGCTGGTGCCTGAGGAATTCTGCGGGCCAGTTCACTGCTGGTGTTTCTAGACCATGACCGGGCAGAATGACATCTCTATGAGCCGAGCTTGTTGGAATACATGAGGAATTGAGTTGGTTGAAACATTTAGGTGATATCCCAGTCGAAATATAATCTGATGCAGCAAGAGCAAATTCTGAAATTCTTAATGGTTCAAGTTGTTCATTGGTGGGACTGTTGAGAAACAACATTAGAGACTTGGCGAAATCGTTTTGAGTATTTCATTTAGTCATATTAGGCATTTAGCGAATAAGCCTACCCATTTGTTAGCTAAGACGACTTGTTCTTTGCCTGAATTGCAGTCTTGGATTGATTTTCCTCCATCTTTTATTGTGTCGTCATTAGCCAACAATTTGATTAATGATAATTAAGTCATTTCTTTTCAAAAAAACTAAAGTGAGGGGGCATATTTTTCTAAACATCCCCGCATGGCCGCATTGCAGATGGTAATGCACCAAACTCTAGGGGTGGATATGGTAAATATACCGTATCAAAACGGTGAATTAACTACCAATATTTTACAATAGTTTCAACACTACCAACTTTCTAGTAAAATATAGTACAGTATAGACATATTAAATACAATAAAAATATGCATGTAATAAAAATATGCATGTATATATGTATGTATAGGTAAATACACTCCATAACATTTTACTAAATTAAATTTGAACTTTTGAAGGCAAAATAATCAACACATCATATTTTTCAACAAAATATAATGACAATTCACATAAGAAAAAGAAAAAGATCAGAATAGCATAACAAAATAACCATAATATTAATTTAAAAATAAAATAAATTGTTTTATGATTGGCATGCCAATAATCCAGTGTGTGTGGGTCTCATCAATGTTTACCATACCATATTTTATCTGGTCTGGTCTGAACTGGCCTGGTAAAAGTCTGGTCTCTGTGTATTTTATAACTATAGAAATTTGGTTTGGTCTGTTTAAGTCTGGTCTAGCCTGGTCTGTTATGTTTAAATCTGGTCTAGTCGGGTCTATTGAAGTCTTATCTGGTTTGGTCTGTTCAAGTTTGGTTCGGTCTTGTCTGGGATTGAAAAACAGTCCAAAATAAAACATCCTAATGCCACATCGATTTCGAAATTAAAGCTTCATTTGTTTGTGGACATCAGTACATGACAAAGGTTGTCGTCTATATAATAATATATTATATTAACAAAAAGAAGGGCACATTGTGATTTGCTAACAATGCTATGTAATGCTACAATCAGAGACCATAAATATAAAATATAAAAGAATAGAAACGGCAAGTCGCCAAAACCTCAACTAAAAGAAAGATGTTCTACTTTGGGTGGGGTGGGGGGCTAGCAACTAACTGTGAGCACAGACATTAAATCGATAGAGGGGAAGTACCGTGGAGGTGAACATGCACACACTCAGCCGTGACTTTGTTGTTCACTCCATTCTCAACTAAACTGTGGGGAAATCAATCATCCCAAGCACTATCGGCAGCTCCCACAGCTTTCTTGCCTGTAGCTGGTGAAATCATGTGCCTGTAACTGTCCTCAACATTTATTGTAGCAGCGGATCCCATCAACGACAGTTTGGAGAGTCCGGTACTTGCGTCCCTCTGAGCTGCCGCTGCTTCTTTCTCCTTCCTTCTTGCAGTCTATAAACATAAATAATATATAATTTATGAATACAAACGGGATAAGGGTCAGTTTGGTCCTCGAAGTTGCAAAAAAGGGGTCAAATAAGTCCTTATATAGAAAATTCTGTCCGGACGTGCCATTTGAGGTGGCTCCCAGTGGAATTTTTTGATGAAATTTTTTGAGCATCTTATTCATTAAGTCTAGTTTACTCATACCAAATTTCAGATAAAAATTCAATCGGGAAGACATTCAAATGAATTCTTGAAAATAACTGTGTCGTTAAAAGCGCAGTTATCTTCAAGAATTCATTTGAATGTCTTCCCGATTGAATTTTTAGCTGAAATTTGGTATGAGTAAACTAGACTTAATGAATAAGATGCTCAAAAAATTTCATCAAAAAATTCTACCGGGAGTCACCTCAAATGGCACGTCCGGACAGAATCTTCTATATAAGGATTTATTTGACCCCTTTTTTGCAACTTCGAAGACCAAACTGGCCCTTTACTCGAATACAAACAGTCATCCGAGTTAATGGGGCAGGGGGCACCTTGTTTTTGTGATCACCATCACATAACGTCATGAAACTTTCGGGCAACCAGGCCTAATATATATAAGGAAATCTATGTGTGGAATTTATCAACTGATTGAGCTTGGTTTTTTATTTGGGGTTGGAGACAAGTTGAGTTATTAAATTTTACTCTTTCAGTGATGATGTGCTTAAATAGTGCTTTATCATAAATTCATAATCTATATATGTAAGTATAAAACATGTATTCTCCCCAGTTACCCGAAGAACGGCATCCAGAGTTTAGAAGAAAACAATAGGCCATTGGTGGTGCAAAAAGTATTATTGGATGGAGGGTTCCTTTGGGCTCTCAGATACTTCTCTCAATCTATTACTCCCTCCGTCCCAATTTGATGTTCCCATCTCTTTTGGGGACAAAGATTGAGTATGGAATTTTCAAAATTGCCCTTATTTTTTATCATTTCCTTTCGTCCCAAGACTGGTCTGCCTCTTTCTTTTCCATTAGCTCATGTACGACGACGCAGACATGGTTGACCCAGGGCGTCTGACGGAGATATTGAGAGAACTGAAGTTCACCGAAATGGTCCCGGTCTTGCTGGCGACGATCATGGATGGCTCAGCTTGTTGGAGTAGCCACTTGATTGTCTCGCTGTCTGACTTGTGACCCAATTACTCCTTAGTGAGCTGGAAAACCCAAGCAGCGGCAGTCGCCGACATGCTGATTCGCTGGATGTGGTTGCCGACAGCAAGAGGCAGTGAAAAGCTAAGGTTGCCTTGGTACGGTGTTGCTACCTTCCATTGATGGTAAAGTTGTAGATTCAAGATATTGAGAAGGTTAAAATTGAAATTGCACATCAATTTATTTGCTAAAAATGGAAATGGGAACATCAATTTGAGACATCAAAGAAAGGAAATAAGGGAACATCAAATTGGAACGGAGGGAGTACTTTCTTTTATTCCTTTCTATATAATAAATCCACTTTATTTTCGTAAGCTTCTTGAATCTCTCATGGACCTTAATCCAAACAGTAAATCCATAAGACATACTACCTCCGTCCCCTTAAGTTTGGGACAAAGGGGTGTGGTGTGGTTTTTAAGAAAAAGTAGAATAGTGTAGTTGGTATTGAATTGATAAAGTGTGAATAAAGTAAGAATGAATTCTAGCCACTCAAACATTACCTAATATGGTATGGGACAAACTTAATGGGACGGACGAAAAAGGTAAAACGGGACAGACTTAAGGGGACGGAAGGAGTACTAATGAGGTGGCGTGTGAAACAAAAAATTTTGAATAATAAACAGTTGTTTGAAGGGTTACCATAGAATTTATGAGAAGTTTATTGAATGTTGCCAAAACCCAGAACGTTCCCTCTTACTAATGTGCATCATAGCATACTAGTACTAGTGCAAAAACCATATCAAGAGCTACTGGAAGTTTCCAAAGGCAGATGTAAAGGATGACTTAGATTATCTTTATTAACATTTACCTTTCCAGTAAATCCAAACAGTTAATCCATAAGACATACTACCTCCGTCCCCTTAGGTTTGGGACAAAGGGGTGTGGTGTGGTTTTTAAGAAAAAGTAGAATTGTGTAGTTGGTATTGTGTAATTGATAAAGTGTGAATAAAGTAAGAATGAATTCTAGCCACTCAAACATTACCTAATATGGTATGGGACAAACTTAATGGGACGGACGAAAAAGGTAAAACGGGACAAACTTAGGGGGACGGAGGGAGTACTAATGAGGTGGCGTGTGAAACAAAAATTTTTGAATAATAAACAGTTGTTTGAAGGGTTACCATAGAATTTATGAGAAGTTTATTGAATGTTGCCAAAACCCAGAACGTTCCCTCTTACTAATGTGCATCGTAGCATACTAGTACTAGTGCAAAAACCATATCAAGAGCTACTGGAAGTTTCCAAAGGCAGATGTAAAGGATGACTTAGATTATCTTTATTAACATTTACCTTTCCAGTAGCAAAAGTAACAGTATTGCCACACCCAACATTTGCAATTGCTTTCCGTATTTGTGCCACAAGAAACTGCATTATTGCACCAATAGGCAAAAATGTAAATATTAACTTGTTAAAGTGGACAAAGACTATCCTGCATGTAGAGAGAGGGAAGAAAAATACCATATCTCGGTCAGTATAAAATGATGTGGCTCTCCCTGTTGATCCTGCACGACCAGTCCTCCCTATCCTGTGGACATAATCCTCCATGGTCTGCACAAAATGAAAGAATTACTGGTATTTTAATACATTTGATTTGTGTGCATTAATTTTAAAGTTATGTGTATTTTATGATTATCTAAGTCTAGTTTGGGGTCGAAATCAGTCCAACTAAAAACATCCTTATATTTTAAAGAAAATGTTAATTTGCAATCTGGAAAAAAGGGTCAATTGTTGGAAACGGGTATGATCATAATTTGTGTCATTGTGTCACATAAAGAACTCTCTTGAAAAGTTCACAGAATTATTTACTATTATCAAATGAGCTGCTGATTTTTTTTTTTGTTTTTTTCTTGTTTTAGGAAAATAATAGATGTCCAAAAGTGAAAGAATTAAATAAAACTCAAGGTTCTCAACGAGACTTCACAGAAAGGATTGTTCCTAGTACTTTGATGTACCTTTGGAAGATCTAAGTTAACTACATGTGCAACCCCAGTGACATCCAATCCACGAGAAGCAACATCAGTGGCAACCTGTAGTTCAATTTGTTTAAATTAACCTCAATCTTGCAGGATAGGGAGATTTACCTAAATAGAATAAAATAAATTCTTAATTGCTAAAATAGGAGTAAAGTTTAAAAACTCCCCGAGTAGGAGTAAAGTTTAAAACATCCAGTGACAGAATGCCAGGCCACCGCTGGTCACCGCCCACCGGCCACCACTTACAGATCCGGCATCCGCGGCTGCAGATCCAGCCTCCGCGACTGCAGATCTGGCCGCCGCCGCCGCTGATGCCAACATGAATCAAGAATGCCATCTTAATGGCATTTTCCAAGGAAAATATGACATTTTTGAAGAGTAATGGTTCCATCTTCATGGCAATTTTAAAACAAAATTTGACATTTTTTAAAAATGAAACAAGAAGATGAAGAAGAAGTTGCCATCGTCGAATGCATATGGACTGACGGAGCTGAGCATCTCGAATATTAAGGATCTCAGATGAAACAAAAGAGGGAGAATGAGAGAGCCAGAAGAGGAAGGAGGAATTGAGGAAGAAGAGAGAGAGAAGGAAGAGACAGGGGAAAACAACAGGCCGCCGCAGATCGCTCGCCACTGCTCATCGTCGCTCCTTCGCCGCTCGCTGTTGCTTGCCTCTGTGAGTCTGTTCGCCGCCATTGACGAGCTCACTGTTGCAGACTTGCAACCAGAACAAAAACTCTGCAGAATCGCTTAACTAAGAGCTCCATTTTTGGGTACATCACAAAGGAATAAAGATTAAAGAGTCCAAATATCATTTTTTTCATTTTCATCATTTTCATTTACCCCAGTGCCACAAAGGCTCCCACCTATGGTGGGGTAAGGGGGGGTCGGATGTACGCAGTCTTACCCCTGTACTAAAGCACAGAGAGACTGTTTCCGGATGACCCGTAGTGAAAATCGCGTCCAAAATTGCATGGACTGACTGCTGCTTCATAACAAAGAAGCGCAGACAGTTTAGTGAGCCATTTTGCTTTATTCCATCATATTCTCAAGCCAAAAAATAATGAATCTTTGGCTCCATTGCAAATGATGGAAATAAGAGTCCAAATATATATATTTTAAAATAAAATTCAGAAAGAGACATGGACCAATCTAAAGAAATGTGTGATATTTTCAGAAGCGCTATAATACTAGATAACGTGATATTTTCAGAAGCGCTAGAATACTAGATAACAGAATTTCTAGCAACTGATGATGGGGATCCCTTGATCCCTACATATTGCCAATTGATAAACAATAAATTGGATTTACGAGTAAGTAGTTCATACATGACAGCAATAAATAGAAAAGCTTTTCTTTCAAAAAAATGCAAAAAAGGGGATCCCTATATACCAGGATTCTGCTAGGACCATGTCTGAAACCACGAAGGGCGGCCTCTCTTTCACTTTGACTACGACCACCATGAAGTGAAGTTGCATGCAATCCCTGCTTCATCAAAGCTTCTGCAACTTCTTCACACTTCGTCTGCAAAAGAATACCGGTTTAGAGTGAGTTAGATCCTTAACACCAAATTAAGGAAATTTAAAGTCTAATCTAAAATGAGTTGAAAGGTCCAAGTGGGTGGCAAAGAGCCACTCCACAGAAGAAGGGAGTTAGAACTTAGAAACAACAGAACTTCAGAAGAACGCAATAACACTTCAAATAGACCACTTTTACCTTCCGTTCCACAAATACAATGGTCAGTGGAAATGGGTGGCCAGATTTTTCGGATTGAGCAGACTCCTCCACAAGAAGATCTAGAAGCCGGTCAATCTATAATATTATCACCAACATGGAGTTCAGTGGCTTTAGATAAAGAAAGAAAATAAACCATGACTAAACCAGACCAACAGGAAAGAGAAAACACTGTATCAAGCCTATTTTTCGGAACTTGAAACACAAAAAAAATAACATGCCTTCTCATTTTCGGGTACTTTCTCCAAATTTTGGGATACATTTGCCGTTGGACTGCTTACATTTCCAACCCTCACTCGTACCGGGTCGGTCAAGTATTCCTGTAAATTTGATTTATTTACAAATAAAAACTCATAAATTCAATGTAATGCAAATTAGAAGCAGGACGTATAATCCACCCCCATCAAATCACCAAACATAAAAAATATAAAAAGGAATCAGATATGGATTGACATCCATACTTCGTCCTTTCATAGCACCTCTTTCCCAAGTTCTTTAAATATGGAGAGGTAAAAGAATTCATAACTAATGATAGAAAGGAACTAAGAACTAACCTGTGTAAGTGCTTCAATTTCTGCTGGCATGGTTGCACTAAACAACAAAGTTTGATGCTTTTTGGGAAGATTGTGCATCACCTACAGCCGAGAAAACAAGAGTATTTCCAAACAGTTTTAATGTCAATACAGCCCATCTTTACATAGGTAAAGAAACACAGAGAACTATATAAGACATATATACTTTTTAGACATTCTCTATTGAAAAGAAAATATTTCTAAAGCATAGTTAACTCTCTAAAAATCCTCATTTCTCAGTCATTTTGACTCATTTCACTCCATGTCCCTTGCTTTGGAAGAGAGATGGGTTTTATGGAGGTGGGACTAGGATAGCACTTCCTTAGTTCCTGGTCACAAATTATGTCAAGAAATAAAATAAATATTGAATATCACAGTTATATTTGTAATCAAGATATTACCTCTCTTATCTGAGGCTCAAATCCCATATCAAGCATTCTGTCAGCCTCATCCAATACAACAAAAGATATCCTGGAAAGGGAAGTATTTCCTTGTTGCAAGTGATCGATTAGTCTTCCAGGAGTAGCCACAACTATGTTCACCCCTGCTCGAAGCTCGGACCTCTGTCTTAGCATCCAGTTGAAAACAGCAATCAAAATTAAGAGATCAATAAGATACACATTTACATGCAATAAGTAAAAAAAGAACCATGAACTTGTACTGTGCGTCAAAAGATTAATCTCCAAGGCTAAGTAGGAAGAGTTTGCATGCTGTATGGTATCTTGTTTAAGTTACTAGTTACAATAACATCCAAGCCTTATTCCCTAAAGATTTTTGGGTCAGCTAACATGAATCGGTCCATGATATCAAAGCCAAAAAGAATAGAAAGATAAGAAACGTAAAAAAAAATAAGGGAAGATAAAATGGATAAGATAAAGATGAATATAAAATAAAAAGAACATAAATAAGATAAAAGATAAAAACAACATAAGAACATATTAAGATAAAGAAGATGAAAGAAAAGCCAATGACCTCCAATGCAGAAAATTGGTGAATTGAATGGGAATTCGGAACAAAAACACATTACCTGGTCACTAATGTTTGTCCCTCCCACTACAATTGCTGTTCTAAATGAATCAAGAGATTTACTGAAAGCTTTGACCTGAAACAAAATGATTTACAAGCAAACGTTAAAGGACACTGAGCCACAATCATAACTCACAAATTAATGACACTTCAAAATCTTTTCTGCCCATACGCAGACAAAAAAGAATGTTGAAATCCTAATAACAAAATATCTGAATACAAATAAATAGGCACAAGATAACATAAAAATACTGTCAATGTGAGAAATTAGCTGACTATTTACAAATTCATAATTGTTGCTATTTAATTTTATAGGTACAAATTAGCTGACTATTTACAAACAGGAGATTAATTTGCAGTAGAAATAAGCATTGAAAAGAAATAGGGTGGAGAACACTGGATTAATATCCAATTAAAAATTACTGAGCAACTTTAGAGTTGATATAGCATCATTACTGACACCACAAATGCACCTCTGTTTCTATCTGTTGTGCAAGCTCTCTTGTAGGTGCCAATACCAATGCAAGTGGGCCATCACCGCGCCTAAGAGGAGTCTGAGCTAGGCAGTGCTGTAACCAAACAGGTAGAACACACAACGATAAATGACAAAGATACCAACTGCCAAGTCAAAAAACAAAAAGAGAATATTTATGCATGTAATGATCACAAATTATTTCCATCGAAGATTCGGGGTCACCAAGGGTGTAGTCAAATCAGTGAATAAAAATATAAAACCTGAATCATTGGTATAGCGAATGCTGCGGTTTTTCCACTCCCAGTTTCTGCACAGCCCAAAATGTCCCTCCCACTAAGGGCAACAGGCATGGTTTGAGCTTGAACAGAAGTGGGAATGCTATAACCATGGAGTGCAATATCCTTCATGATGCTAGGATGCAAGCACTGCATGGATAGAAATAGAATCATATATATATATATATATATATATCAAACAATGAAAAATCAAATAATGAGTTATTATCTTACCATATCAGTGAATGATTCTATAGGTGCAGGTGCAGGTTGTGAATCCGCAGCAAAATCAACATCAACATTAAGTCTCAACCTAATCTCTTCTATCTGTATACAGAAAACAGTTGATCGTTATTGAGTCGAGACAATGACTTTGAAGTATGACCCATGCTATGCCAACCATCCCTTCCCATAAGCATCAAAATACACATTAACAAAATGATGATTGTTATTAAGCAGCTACATAACAAATCTACTTCTTCTTTTTCCCAATTTTTTTAATGTGAATTTTTTTCGTTTTCATATTTAGCCCACCCCGCTAATGTTTAAGCCTATTATAATTACTCTTCAACCCAACCCAAACCAAATTCTTGGATCTGCCTCTGAATACTGGGCAGTGATTCTAGCTCAGGCAAAGAAAAAGGTAAGTACATAATCTCCCTATGCCATCTCTTGACCACACATATACAATAAAAAAAGGCAGCCTGGTGCACATTGGAGTGTCCACAAGGCGAGGGTCCCACCACAAATATTTAATATATCTATTTAAAAATTGATTCTTCCACCAGCCCATACATCAATGAATACCAGGCATGCTTGAATGAAAAAACTAGTTAGCTATGCAAGTTCCACTGTATTTCTACAAGTGGAAGTTGGTCAACCTGAGAAGATTGAAGACTCAAAATCACACAACACCAATCTGCCACACCATTAAAAAATCCATAGTACATTCTTTACTTTCACTTATTTCAATTTTGAGGGAAAAGGAAGATCACCCTAACCAGAAAAATAGAACACAGAGGAAGAATGCAGCAAATAAGGAACAAACCATGTCAGTCCGTCATAACTTCACACTTCACTTATTAATTCCGACCATTATCAGTTTATTAGAACCCTAATAGCCATTGTGATCATATATGAAGAGACAGAGTGTGTAAAAAAACGTTACAAGTAAAAAAAGCAGAATTCTAAGGTCAGACTAAAACCCTAGAAACAGAAAAACTACGGTGGTAAATGCCTTACATAAGAACCTCACTAAATAATCATGCAAGAGAGCGCATTGCATAGTTCCATGTCCTCGAATGATAACTCAAATGTGATATTGAAAGTTACAGATGAGTATTGACCGAGGAGAAAGAACCTGTTCAAGTTTGAGCCGGAGAACACGTTCGGATGGCTTCCACTGAGTGAAGACGGGCTCGGGCACGACTAGAGTTCTCGGTGCCGAGTAATTGGCAGTAGAGCATGCGCTCCGACTGGAACCGTTGGAGGAGCTTTCTCTTACTGCACCGTTCCTCGATTGAGCAAATGACGACGGCAATTTGGGGTGAGCGTTATTGTTCGAGTACAAGTAATCGCTGCCGTTTCTCCCCACAGTCGTGGCGGCGGCTGAGTTTCTCAGGTGCGGAGGTACATAAGACATTGCTTGATTTTTTGCTCCGGCCGGATAAGAATTGAAACGGTCACTGAAGGAGAAATTCAAGGGAGGAATAGAAAACAGTGAACTCTGCGACTGAGAGATATCGGCAGAAATTTGGCTCCCAGATTTATATTTATTGATATTTGCACCAGCGAACTTGAGTTAATTGCTGCTAAACTTAGCTCGAAATATAATTTCTGAAAGCTTGGTTGCTTATGTTTTTCAACTTTTTTGCATATTTTTGTACATTTTTCGCGAGAATGAGAATGTTTACCCAAAAATTTAAAAATCTTTTTCTCATTTGACTTTAAAAACACTTTTTTATCTAACATTGAGAAACATTTTTTCAAACATTAACAACTTTTACAAATAAACATGTTTTTCCAAAATAAATCTAAAAAACACATTTTAAGGTAGAACCGTAGAAGCAATCACAACACTCCCTAAATGAGTTTGTGAGCTACTCTGCTTTTTGTGAAAAGGTTTCTTAGTTCAGGCATGTCCCATTGTAAGGGTTTCGTTTTCCATTTCTGGGCATTCTATGTAAAAAAAAAAAAAAAATTAGGAAATAGTTTAAGAAAATTCCAATTCAATACATTATATCAAATCTCCTACCATAAATTCAAGACTATGAATGGACTCCAGTTATCATCAATGACATAATCAAATTATAAAAATAATAGATCTATAAAACCACACTTATCATAAATGGCACCATTATATTATACTCCGTATATACACATCAAACCTATTTCTCAAAACATAGTCGAATAATCTTATTTAATTATTATCTAAATAATCGTGTCATTTTACAATGGAAACATTTAAGCGGGACGGAGGTACTAATTATAAATATGTATTTGATTTTGAGTGATTATTGTTGTCAAGTACCTAGTGGTCTAATGACATTATTGTTGATCTCATAAGGAGGAAGTCGCATGTGAGTCTCACCCCAATGAAAAAATGTTGACATGATCATAAGCTGATGATATAATAGTTCTAGAAATATATTTTTATAAAATGATTATTGATCATCGTTATATAATATATATTTACACTTTAGTCTGTTTTTATTTTCTACAAGGTTTTATACTTTTTTTACTCCCAACTTCTTATTTATTATAAGACACATTTTACTTTTTGATTTCTAAAAACATGTATGTTTTTTAAAATTATCACTGATTTTATTGTTACTATGTTCTTAATCCATCATTTCACCGTTTACTTTTTTGAATGCATACTACATTAGTCAGTTTATCCTTGTTCTTAAACATGTGCCAAAACTAAATGTATCTTACAATGTGAGGGAAGGAGTATGTGTTCCGCGAAAATTAGCATTCGCTTTATGTATTCTTTATAATAGCACACATGTTTGTCATTGTGGCAATTTATTCAAGATCTTAGCTTTGCAACACAATGTTAATTTTATTTATATCAATGTTTTGTACATTGAATTTTTTGTTTTATAATGACCGAAGTCCATTTGGAATCTTTAGCTTATGGTAGAAGATTTGATTTAATTGTATCGAATTGGAGTTTTCTTTTATGTGATGTTGGTGCATATTGTACTAAGCCTTTTCCCTTTACTTTAAAAAATCTTTAAAATTTGTTTTGTATTATTTTGTTAATTTGATCGGATTTGAGCTTGAAGTTTTGTACATTTGACATGAATAGATTTGACGACGCTTTTATTGAGAGAATTGGAAATTTAGTCTCGGAAGTGGACGTTGGCGACTACTTTTCCGCTTTTCCCGAAGTCTGTTTTTGGTTCAAAAGGTCCTTAATGTGGACAAAGTTATAGTTACACGGCCAAATCTGCTACTACTTTTTCATTTTTCCCGAAAAGTTTGTGTTTGGTTCAAAAGGTCCTCAATGTGGAGAAAGTTATAGTTACACGGCCAGAACTGTAAGTGAGTAAAGTTACGGGACTAATAATGAATATTCCCAAAAGTTGTGGGACTAAACTAATATATCTCCCTGTTTTTCTTAGGCCCAAAATTATTTTCAATTTACTTTTATTGGTTAATACATTAAGTGTCATTTTATTCTATAGTTTTGAGTATCGATTAATCATTTTATTCTCTAATGTTGAGTATTGAGTTGTAATCACTTTAGTTATGCGATCATTTGCATTTCAATAGAACTTTTGGTGTGGTTTGTAGATATATAATTTTTGCAAAAAAAAAAAAATGAAAAGGATTAACTTTAGGTTCAATCAACCTCATAACCCTTCTTTTTTTACAGATGAAAGGAGTACATTATTGTTATTTTTTGTAGTTGTGCATAAGTAAAGAATAATATAAGTGTTATGTATGAAATATTTATTGGGAAGATTTCGATAGTGTTCATACTATATGCATGCATATGAAGTTTTTGTTATCATATTTTTCATGACATCTTTACTCACGGTATGAACTAAGTTTTTTTTTTTTTTTTTTTTGGTCCCGGAAGGCAAACCACCAAAATCAGTGGGGCAAACGCCGGGGAACGTTTGCCATGTTTTATTAAAATAAATGCAAGTACAACGGAAGAGGGGGACCACACCAAAACCTCTTCAGAAGGGCATTCCCTTCTAAAAAACATAAATACACGGTATGAACTAAGTGTATTAATGCATATAGTTAAGGTATTGAATTTTACACGTAACCCACAATATGATTTAATACACAGTCCATATAATAATTAAGCACATTGCCACATTATGTAAGTGTTATACATTAATGAAATGTTGTAATGTAAAAGTATGAATTATTTGATATATTGTGCTATTTATTTTTGTATATTGTATAAGCATTTGCAACATTTAATTAGTTAAACATTTATTGTAAACATAGCGTTAACATTTATTGTTAAAAGTCCATGAGAAAGTGAGACATCAACATTTTATAACTCAACTTTACTATATAAAGTAGTACCCCGTATGTGTTATTTGTGCCCTAAATTTTTTGAATAAATAGGGCTCCAAGTGAACTGGAATTTTAGAGCTTGTTTGGTAACTTATATTTGTGATTTCTCAAATATATCAAGCCTTCATATTGTGTCATATTTTTTCTTTTTATTGAATAACTTTATTGCTCATTTTGTTTCAATATATAACTGACTACCTCATTACAAATGTAATTCTTATTTTTTATTATGACAATATACATAACTTCAATATAATAATTTTTCGTATTTAAAGAAGTATAATTTGTATTACGGAGTATTATAATAAAATTATGAAAAATATACTCCCATAAAGCTTGAAAACTGAGTTATTTTAATCTAAATAAACAAATCTATTCCATATATGTTTGTACAAGTATAAGGAAAAAAGTAAAAGTACTAAAGAAGGTAGTAATGGAACCCAAACACTGAATTTTCTTGTATGAATTTGAATAAAAATAGGCTAAAGGGTCAAATAGGGTCCTGTACCCGTCCGGAATGCTCAATTCGCACCCTAAACTCTAAAAAGCTCTAATTCACCTCCTGATCTCGACAAAAAATTTCAAATCTCATTTTTTGCAGGTAAACGTCCGGCTATGCCACCTAGTCAAGCGCCAACCGTGCATCCCGCGTGGCAATTTAAGGGGTCAAATAGGCCCTTGAACCCGACAGAGTTGTTCAATTTACCCCCCCAACCATTAAAAAGTGTCAAAATTGATATTAAAAAATTAAAAATATTAAAAAATAGAAGATAAAAATATAATATAATATAATATAATATACAAGTTCATAACATAAAATATAGATGTCTATTTATAAAGTAATAAGAAACTATTTATAATTTGTGTTGAATTGAATATATAAAAAGTATAACAAAAATAAATTTGGTGTATATAATTAGTATGAAATATAGTATATAATTCTAGAATAAAATAATACAAAGTATATATACATATATGCATGTGTGTGTAATTTTACATATAAATCTAAATTATATGAAAAATATTTAAAAATATCAAATGAAAAATACAACTCTAAAATATAAACATAATATAAATGGTAAAATATAAAACATAAAATGTGTTTTATATTACCAATTATTACATATAATACACAAAAAACATATTTAATTTTAATTGGTAAAAACATGTATGCCTTGTTAATTTTTAAAAAATAGACTTAAAATATCAAAATAGTTTTAATGAATTTATTTTTTGGTTTATTTATATGCTCTTACCATGAATATAAATAAATCCTTATTATATTATGTAGTATTTAATAGGATGTCTATATTTTATATTTTCAACGTGTATCTTATTTTATATTTACATTTTCTATTTTTTCATTTTTTTTGCAATTCTTACACTTTTTAACAGTTGAGGGGGCAAATTGAACAACTCTGTCGGGTTCAGGGGCGTATTTGACCCCTTAAATTGCCACGTGAAATGCACGGTTGGCATCTGACCGGATGTTTACCTGCAAAAAATGAGATTTGAACTTTTTGTCGAGTTCACGGGATGAATTGGAGCTTTTTACAGTTTAAGGTGCGAATTGAGCATTTTGAATGGGTAGCCGGGCCAATTTGACCCTTTAGCCAATAAAATACAATCTTAGAAAAACACTCAATTGAAAAACACCTTATTTGACAGTTTCCTAAACTGTTAAATAGACTCTCTAAGTGTGTTGAAAAAGTCAATTAAGTCCTCTAACCAAAGACACACTCAATTGAACTCGTCAAGTTTACAAAAATGTTCAATTTTCTAATCTAACAGGTAAAGCACCAGTTAGTGATATAAGTAGGTGATGTGATTGCTTATGTGGCTTTAATTTGTCAAAGGTAATTACTTAAATGACAACGGTACATTCTTCAATTCACATTCACCATCAGCCTTAATTTTACAGAACGGTCACCTTCCCCGAGCCCGCTTCGTACAACGATTACTTCACCAGTTTCTACACTTTCTGGGACGTTGAACAGAGTATGCATGGTACTGAAGGACCTCGCGCGCTAGTTGTTTGTGCATCAAGGTAATGCCCTCACTTCGGAATTCAGAATCGTTCAGTCTAGATGTTAATGGGCGGTGGTAATGTTTTTGTGTTCGGGGTTCTTCAGCGTAATTGACGTGTAACTAATTCGTGTTTGTAGTTGTTGTTGGTCCCAAAATAAGGATGTATTGAACAGCAAAATACGATCTATGACAATATAGGTAAGGTCTAGATAATGATATGATCAATCTGAGAGCAATAGAGCCTTACGCTATACTA